TATATATATATATATATATATATATATATATATATATTTGAAAACAAGTGAGGTGCGTGCTGTTTATTCATCATTGAATTTATCGCTAACAAGTCACAGACACCTACTGTAGAAGAATCCTAAGCCCCAAAACAACACAGTATATATTTATACTATTAAGAAATACAAGTAAAAGCCTTTTTATTTTGAGAGTTGGCAGAGATAAGATTTTTAAATTCTGAAAAACAACAATAACCAACATGTTTGTTATGGATCTTCTTTTTTTTTATATTCTGGACAGTAAATCATCATAAGGTCTTAGTCCATGTCATAATCAATGATCAAAGTTCATGTTCTCTACATTTTCATCATTGAAGATGTAGTGGCTATGACCTCATCTTTTGGTTAAGAGCTGGTTTTCATAACTTAATGGCAGGAGAATTCTAGCATTTTAAGTTTGAATTCTTCCCAGGATTGGAGGATGATGATATATATATTGGAACAACCATTAGAAGGCTCTGTAGTCAAATAAAAGAACACTGTAATGCTAAAACCTACAATGGCAGGAGTATTACCAACCACTCTCTAAACTAACATGTTCTTGTGCCTACCTCCAGTTTCTTCCACATCATCCTCCATTTGCAGGAAGATTTCCAACTTTTAGAATGCCAGAATCTCTTGCCATTAAGCTAAGATAACTAGCTCTTAACTATAATGTGAATTCACTGCCACTACATCTTCAATTGTATAAAGAAATAATATAATTTGAATTTCAATATTTAAATCACCATAAAAAACAGAACTTACCTCTCACAGGGATCATCTGACTGGATAAAGTGCATTTAAACATTGCTTTCATAGTTTCAACTTCACTTTATATTTTTCACACTAAGTTTCCATACTCAACATAAACACTACATGCTTACCCATAGCCTTCCAACTTGGCAAGCATAATATAGGCACAAGCCAATTAGCACACTTGATTCAATCTCACCAGCAATATTATGTAAATATCAATTACACAAATTCGTTGTTATTAAAAATTTGTGACAAAATGAAGAAAAAAGTTACTGTATATTGTATTGATAAACATAATTGGATTTATTATTATTATCAATGGATTACAGAAAGATGTTAATAATAATTGAGGAAGGTGTCATATGTCTTCGTTGGCAAACAGATTGCTGTATTTTTTGTTCCAGTATGTGCCATAAAGCTTTATCATTTGAAATTGTTTTTATTCTTTACTTGACAAATATAATTGCATTTTAAGCATGCAATCAAATCAAGCTTATGTATTTCTGTCTATAATGATATTCTTCATTTGTTCAGAGCATCCCCAACAAATTGGTTAAGCATAAAACTTTCAGTAAAATTTGAGTCAAATTCTGGCCAGAAATAAAAGCCTGATGAAAAATTAGAGAACAAAAAAAACACAAAGTTTCACAGGTTTGAACTCAAAATGAGTTCAGTTGGTATGTGCAAGCTACCAAGGGATTTTGGCACTGCTTGATTTGTAAAGACACAGCAAAAGGCAATGTGTATGTGCTGGGGCATTAAAATTCTGTTAAGACCAGAAATCGTAACTCACATTCGAGGTGTATGTTAAAAAACATATGAAAAAATAAAATAGCAATGAATTTAGAAAATGGTTTTATATTATTTTAAATGAAGACATTATTTTATTGATTCAAATTAAAAACTATAAAAAGTAAATTTTTTTTTCTCAAATCCTGAATAAAAAAAAAAAATACAATCATCATCTAATGCTTCAAATTGTATGAGTATATATGTTTGCATCTGAAGAAAATAATTAACCTGAAACAAGAAAAAATTTCCTTTATAAAAAGCATTTTCACATTGTGAATATGTGATAAAGAAATGTGAAGTCTCCCTATTTTCAAAAACTTCTCCATATTGGCACCTGGAGGGAAAAGGGGCTTCTTCCTATTTTGAGAACTGGCTTGACCCCTGATACAGTTGTAAAAGGAAGTATATTCCACATTCAATACAATATGACTAGGTTTCTGGACATTTGCAATTTAAAACAGCACAGTAATTGTTATTACAAGTTCTACAACTGAAAGATGTTAAATCCTCTATTAAACTGACAAGACTTGTGATAAGTCAGCCAGTGCTTGTTGACTTTACTTACACTTAGGGAAATTACAAAAAATGAAAGATACCTTATATGTATTACCATATATAGCTTGTAGGTAGCACTAGCATTTGCATAAATTTACTATTAACATGGTGGAGCCAACTTTGGAAAATCACGTAGGCAAAACATATGTACAAATGCCTAGAATAAGATGTACAAACATAACATGAAGTTTGAGATTGTTTGCTACAGTTTTTGCATTAATGAGGAAATTAAATTTATTGGTATTTTTAACAGTAGAGAAGTTTAACTTGTGTGATGACAGATTTTGATAATGAAAACGAACAGGGAAAGTAAAAACATTAATTTAAAAAATTACATGTAATTGATACAGTTGCATGAGCAACTATCTGATAAAAGCATATATGTGGTTTAATTCCACAAAATATATTGAAAAATTTGTTGGCTTTTACTAATTTTTTTATTATTAATAACAGTATTGTTTTGAACTAAACTTTATTTGTTGGAAACAGATAATTGCTTTGAACTACAGTTATTTATTAAGAACAGTATGTTGCTTTTAGTAAAACTATTGCATATCTATTTCAGGTCCTGAGAAAAAACTAAAATCAGATGGTATGGACATCAGGAGTTGTTTTGGGGCCAAAATATTTACAGTTAATAGTAACTTCTCAAATGACAAAGACTCGGCAAAGAGTACAGTGCCATCACCTGGACTTAAAACACCAACATTACATACATCTATTCCACATGTAAACCAAGAACGACATTCAGAAGGTATATTAGAACAAGATGTTAGCTTGAAGAAAAGCTCCACTGAATTCGATTTTGTGCCATTCACTGGTCATGGACATCGTCTTGGAGGCAGGAATAGCATGTGTGACAATACAAGCACCACTAATAGAACTCTGTCGAGTCAATCGGAATTTGCAGCTATCAGAAATACTTTCTGTAATGATAATTTCCTTTCATCTAAACAAGCAAATACAAATATTTTAGGAAATCAAATTATAGGTTCTCAACACTCATCAAAACTGATAGATAAACAAGAACGCAATGTCCTGAAAGAAAAAAATAGTCTACCCTTCAAACAAAGCAGTCATGTTAAAGATGAATCAGTAAAACAACTGCCAACAGTAACAAGTAGAGTTGGAAATAACAAAAGAAACGCCTTGAAGAATATCATAAATAGAAATAGTAGCAATAAAAATACTACAAACCAACCACATCAAAAGGAGGTCACTGTAAAAATCCATTCAGTTTCATCACCTATACATCATATTCTCAATTCTTTCAGCTCAGATGATGAGGAAGAATATCCTTTGAACAAATCCAGTTCTAAATTTATTCAGACCAAACTAATGTTTCCCAAATATGAATCAAAAACAGGGGGAAATTTGAAACGCATTCAGAGTCAGAAATTTGATATTTCAAATAAAGTTCAGTCCTACAGTATTCCATTTTCCTTAGATAGAGCTGAATCAAGTTCTGGCCACAATACTTCTTTGTTACCTGAACCTGAATTCAGTCCTAGCCTTGGGACTTCAACCCCATCTAAACCTGGATCCAGCACCAATCCTGGGACAACTTCATCAACTAAACCCGAATTAGTATCTGATTCTAGAAAACTGTGTGGAGAACAGCAAATGTGTGAAAGAGTGACGTGTCCTATTTGTGGATTTGAATGTTTAGTAACAGTGATAAACCAACATCTTGATTCATGTTTAAAAACAAGTTCATGACATATTAGTTATGGCTTTTAATTTATAGGTTGCAGACCTTTTAAGTGAAAAAATAATAATTTGAGTAAAATGTATCACGTTAGTCTGCTAAAAGAAGACCATTTCCTGGCTGATGGCATGCCAGAGTTCCATGTTTATGTTATGCTTTAGTAGCTCGTAGAAGTTTTCATGGCCTTGCTCTATATAGTTGTGTAGATTACCCATTCAGTTTTTATCCAAAGAGGTAATCCATTAACAAGAAGTTGTCATGATGTATTATAAAGAGGCTTTGAACATTTCTTAAAGAATTTTTATAAATGAAGTACAGGTAAACTAAGAATAATAATGAAATAAAGCAGGATATCTTAGGCTTTCATTTAAGTTTGAGAATGGACACAATATAAAAAAAACAACAAATAAACCTAAAATACTAAAGTTTTCCACTTATAGAAACTGTTGTTTATCTGCTAGAAGCAACCAAACAACATCCACACGCATAGTATAGACTAAAACAGTTAAAGCATACAAAATATATTGATATACAACCACAGTAATAAAATAGTAGAAAAACTAGGAGCTTCAAGGCAAAATTAAGTATTGGAAAGCCTGATTATAAGGTAAACACATTAAAGAAAGTCATTGCGTCAGGATTATAAAACACTTTTTCACTTTATGACCTAGATATTGGTATTTCTGTTGGTCTGCTCAGTATTACTAGAAAATCTTTCACAGAATAAACAAATTATACATTGTGCTTAAGACTTGAAATTATTGATTATTTAAACTTTTTTTATTCAAGATTTGTCTTAACAACTTGCTATACTTTTTCAAATAACCTATAGCTTAATTATATCAACATAATTCAGGTAACTAAGAACGTTATTTACAGTGACTTGTTATCATATATGTTGACTGAGTGGTTGACAGGTTATTTGTTATATCTAGTTATGTGCAGTAGTGGAATAGATATTTATAAAGTTAATCTGTTTACGTCACAAAACTTTAAAAAACATTGCAGATTGTATGTGTTACTAAAATCTAAACCTAAAGTATTTAAGTTTTTCTAACACTCAAATGTTGTCATTGCTTATATAATTAATTTCTAACAAATCATATTAACAGTGACAGATGTTTTTATTCTATACAGTCATTTTCATACCAATGTGAGAAGAACATGGACACCAATGTGTTTATGTATTCTTTTACATCTTATAACAAAAATTCCATATTGTGATTACTATTCATTGTATTGCTACTTAAATATTTCATTTGCGAGAAATTTTATTAAGCAGTTTGATTGTTTATACACTCCTACTGGAGTGTTAATAAAAGATGACTTTATAACAATATCTCAAAGTATTTGAGAATGGAAGGTTTGTGTCATATTGTGAGAAAAAAGTACTGGAGGTAAAATGTTATCTCTTCAAAATTTCCTGGTAATGAGTGATCTATCAAAGATTAGACTGTTTGTGGAAGGTATGCATACTGATGAAGAAAAGTCTGGAAAGAATTATTTCACACAGTTTAAAATTACATAAAAATATATACTGTGTTAAAATTGTTGTATGTATGAGCTGCATAACATCATGTAATTTATAAGAGAATATTAGCTGAGGTTCATTTGGGCTAAAAATAAGGTACTAGTTTTAGCAAATCATCAGGAAAAGAATTATAACACATGTAAAAGCTTTATTGTATTCATTCATGTTTGTAGGTTTAAAGTAGCAACATCAGTGTTGGTCTATGTTAATTCACACTATTTTAATGAATTGTAATTTAAACGTTTCCTTTATAAATACAATAAAGGTGACTCAAAACTATTTTAAGAGAAGTTCAGCAAGAGTTTGTGTGGTTTGTATAGTATACACTAATCCTACCAGTTAATTGATAAACTGGGGATCAGCATCTAAGACAGTAATAATCATACAGTAAGGTAATAAATTTACATTAATTCATCTTGAATAGTGCCATGATTTCAAAATCCTTTAAGAAGTTAATTTGAAATCATGAAAGTTGTTGTGCCCTTTTTATGTAATATTTCTATATTATTGTTTAAAGGAAAAACAATATTGCAACAAACTATTTCATACATGATGAACAGGTGATAGCTACATTTGAGAGTCTCGAAAATGATAACAACAGTCTAGGTGAAAATGTATTCATTCACTATACCACTGCTCAGAAATACACCCATAAACTACAACAAATAGTCAGTACTTTTTCAAACACAATATTGAAATATAACTGTAAGCTGTAACTGCAGTATCATTATAATGAGGATAAAAGGTTTGTTTTGTAGCATAAATGATGAAAAGTAACTTTCCACCACTAGTTTACTGCCATAAAACAAGCTAAAGTATGGTTTTTATCAGCAGAGAAAGAAAGGCAAATTAAAACTTGTGTAAAAGTAAACGTGCTTGTAAGTTGTGTGGCCTTGGCTAAAAAGCAATAGTTGTGTATGTTATCTGCTTGGTTAAAGTCTAAACTGTAATGTTTTACAGAACTACTGATCAATCCACTAAGATAACTAACTGATTGGGGGTAACCCAAAGTGTCTTGTATTATCAATTTGTTTTGGAACAAGTATGAACTTTATAAGAAAAAAGTAAATATACAATAAATGGTAAAATATCTTTTATTTATTCTAATACAAAAAATGTTTACAAAATAAAATACATTACAAAAAGTAACGTGTGTTTAAATACAACTAGTATATAAAAACAAAATGAAGCTTAAATTTGTATTTATTTTTATAATGTAAATCTAGCAATGCTGTAATTTTTAATTACAGATTTCTATTTGGTATGAAGTCCAATTGAACCTGTGCATGTTGGACACTTGTCCTAATATTTCACATGGGAAATTATGTTAGAAATGTTCCTTTTCAATTACTGCTTGTCAGCAGCCTTTTTTAATGTGGTAAATAACAGCTAAATAAAGACAAAAAACGGAGGTAGCTTTTTTTATGGCTTTACTTCTTGAAAGCACAAGCTAAGCCCTGTCCTGTATTATGCATTTGAAAGTAAAGGAAGTTACTGCCTTTTAAATTTTATTTTACCTAGAAATGAAGTAGAAAGCAGATACTAATTTTTGAAGAACTAAATGTTATTCATGAAAGATATTGGTTTTGTGTGGGTTTCTCTTCTCCAGCTAATTTTCTTCCTACATGAAGAGTGCAGCTAACAATGGAGACAAAAAAGTGCTCATTTCATTTTTATCTCAATATAATAATCTGTAACTTTACAAGTAGTGTTATTTTTGTTAGTGTGCAGTGTTTATTTAGCCATTAAAACATATGTACACACTGCTGGTATTTTTAAACAATTCCTTTTCTGTAATAAAAAAATTAATTTTCATACTTCTAAAGCTATCTTACCTTGAAAGCTTTCAGTATAATCAGATATATATGTGCATATCACACATTAATCCTCTCTTAAGAATAATATACAAAACTAAGAAAATTTCAAAGACTAGGCCAATAATATTGGGATTAAAATTGATTACAGCTATACTCTTATTAAATATGAAATTTATTGCATTATATTTATATATAGTTCTGTAAACACAACTTATACAAGCATCTTTTAGCTTATGGTATAAGATAACACTGTAATTCAAGACAGTTTGTGCTTCACAAAACCCTCCTGATATTGCCCATAATAACTTGGGCTATATTATGTCACCATTCATCCTTGATCTGGAAAAAAAATTCATTCACATCATAATTCTCTCTTTAAAATGTCTTGGCTTCAATCTTTGGTTTAGTATTTATTCATTTTCAATCACTAGATATAAATATTTAATGGGAAAAAAAAAGATACTTATTACATATGATTTTAGGCCACACAGTTTTACAAAATTATGAAAATAATAAAGAAAGGCTAAGCAGGTGCTTGAGCATTTTAGTATTAAATTTGAAGAAAAACCTGATCATACAACTATTTCACACAATTCTAATTCCAGTTGTAAGTTATGCACTATGTATGAGTATTGTTTCTTATGTAACACAAATATGCTTTATTAGGCCTTCAATAAAATATGTTTCAAACTGCAGTTTGTTTAATATTTAGGTAATTGATATTTATGTACAAACAATGAGTAAGTGCACATTTTCGTAACCTATAAAATAGATTATTCAAAATAGTCACAACCTTAATGGTTTCGTCTATAAAAGCTGCTACAAACTAAAAATTATTTCATAATATTCAAGACTGCTGCAATATTTAACAGTCATTTCCAAGTTGCTTTCTCCTGTTGTACAAACTGGAAATATTTTCAGGAATATCTTGCTTTAGTTTAAGAGTATTAAAATATATGCTTAAATACATCACATGAAAAATGCATTTGTGTGTTCCTTCACTAGGATCTTGTCATTTTACTCTTTTAATTCCACATTAAAAGAAAGTTGTTAGAAATGGATCTTAGTATAGGGAGAAGCATCAGTTCAAAAGACAAACTGCTATATATATATGTGTAAGGCACTTACAAATATTTTCAATATTCTAATCTCACAACTCTCTGCAAAGACATCTCTGATACCATTTTAAAATGTCCATGTTTCAAGATGGTTGACCAAATAAGCAATATTTTTTGGCAACATTTCCTTGAGATGAAATTCTCCCAACTGAGCTGAGCCACGTTTCTCCAACTTGTGGCTCACATACATGGGAAACAGGTGGAGTTACAACATAAAAGGAACTTGGAAATCTAATGCTAGTTTGTTTAAGCGGCCAAGTCGATGTCTTCACAAATCGGTCGTCCTATAAAATGAAAAATATTTACCTATGAATTGATGGAAACTGGGCAACAAGGGAAATAACTAATTGTAATTAGTAATTAGAGAATACTTGTATTTATAATATATATGGCTGAACCTAATTGTTATTCAATATAAAGGTGAATGCTATAGTTACTTAACATTCAGGTGAACATTTATTATTTTTAAATACTCTGGATGGTCATAGAAACAGCAGCTTAAAACTGTTGTGGTTAATATTTTGAACATGTGTTCCTCTATATACAATACATTTATATTTGTATAGCTTATTAGTTATTTCATCGATTTTTTTTTTCCAAACAAGTAAACTGTTCTCACTACAGAAAAAAGGTTGGAATGAAACAGATTTAAGGAAGGAGACAAGGCCTTCATCCAAAGAGACAGAGTTGTTGGCCTTATTGTGTTTTGGTCTAATGCAATTAATTATAATCCTAAGGCTTATTGGTGAGAGGAGGTGATGTACTGTATCATAAAATGCTAATACTATTATAATAAAAGAGCTTAATTTGCACATGAAAATATGGAACCAAACAATTAGCACTGTTAGAGTAAACATTTTATTTTTTTAACTTATTATTCTGCCCCTTTCCAGTTTTTGTTTTTTGGTAAGGAAAGTAAATATAAATGTCTTCCTTAACAAGAATTCTGCAGGAAAATCCTAGGAATATTTCATTACCTATGATGTGCTGTTAAATACATACCCAGTTCAGATCTGTTCCCTTTCCAGTGTTACACACCTCAGCCTGGTGGGGGTCTGGCACACCATCACTACTACTGTGTCGTCTACAAGAAACGCACATTATATCAGTGTCAGCATCATTAGTGCATCTTACTACACTAAAAACAAATGATAATTGATTACCTAGAAACAACTTGAAGGAATGTACTTAAGGTTTAACAAATTTCATTACCAATATATGCTTCAAGAAGTTTAAACAAATTAAACTTTCAGTTTGATTTTTTTCAAAGAACAATTGAATTTTAATTAACAGAGTAGAATCTTTCACTATCTACAAAATGGTCTGTCATAGAATTAAAACTAATTCTCATATTATCCTGCAGATATTCTAGAATTTTAATGATCAAGTCATGGAATGTACATTCTTTGTCTAAGGGCCCCTTGTATTTAAATATTTTTGAAACTTTTGTTTTTATTACCAAATTACTTATTGTTTCAAATGGTGAAAAGTTTTGCTTCTGATATAAGTGTTTTCTTCATAATAATGCTTAACTAAAATATTAAGTTTTGTAGACTACAACAAAGTTTAATCACTTTACAAAAATTAAATATTCAATCATTTTTTATGTATACCTATGTTCTACACATTACATTTTAAAATTAAAAAGGTTTTAGAAATGCTGAATACCTTTGTCTGACAGAAGCAACCAGTTCTCTTCCAACAAAATCAAGCCCAAAAGAAAAAACATCACTGTCTTGCCCATTGATTGAGGAGGCATCATCACTAGAACAACTATTTTCTCCCTTCCGCATTGTATTCCACCTGTAGCAGAAGCAAAAGCACTAGATGAAGCATTACTAAGATAAAAGAAGATAATACTAGAGCCCATACAGCCCATGAAAGCTTATAAATACAAACAAATTCCTCTTCTGATGATGATAATATCTGTTGGTGTGATGAATTAAGTCAACAATTGTGGTTTAATGGAATGTTGTTTTATATATAAAATCTCTAGTCAGCAAAACTTTTGACTGAAGGATGAAAAACAGTAACTACTTCCCAAATCTGCTTTGAAACTTATATAAAGGGCCTACAAGAATTACATGCTTAAAAATAAAATGGATACATTATGATGTTCTTAACACATCTTTTGGATTAGTCTAAGAATATTTTTTGACTTGCCATTTCCTGCTTAAAATTCCATAATCAAAACTATTTATCTTGTTTGCAAAGTAATATTTCAGTTGAAATGGAAACCTGTTATTAACTCAGTACACAGATTAACTAATAAATATTGGGCTTTTACATACATATATAAAACAAGCATCTATAATAAACTTTCAATCAATCTTTTTTTAATATAAACGAGTATTAATTATTATACTTGGATCTTCTAATTATCAGAGGAATAAATGTCTTATCTATAACAAACTTTTATATAATTTTTGTTATTCTCATCAGTGGACTAGGAGAATTTTTAACAGATAAAACATTTTTAAAATGTGAGAGGAATGAACAATACATCTGTAAAAGCTACATTTAAAATAATGAGAAGGACATCTAATTCAGTAATAATGACAGCAAGAACATTTCTGATTATTTATGTAGACACGCATGTTATATGAAATATAACAGTGGCTACAAACACATCACATAACAATGTAAACACACTATATTGCCAAAGATATAAAACTTTACCTCTCTCTCTCTGCATTTTGCCAAGCAATTAAAGAATGTGTATTCTGACTAAAACTGCAATTTTCACTGTTCAGTTGGCTTCCAGTCTGTGGACCTGGTTCTATGCATGAAGCTAATTTTGGATCTTCCATCCAGATCCAGTTTACAGAAGAGAAACCAGCACCAACATTATGGTTATTCATCTGTGGCCATGTTTTCTTTCCATCTGAGCTAGACATTATATTATTAGCATCAGGAAATATGTGAACTGCTGAATGGTTGGTTCTCAGTTCTCTGCTGTCATACTTAGAAGAAACTGTCTTCCAGAGTTCAGAATTACTATCAAAGTCACACACTGTAGGCATTTGTCTTAATAAGGAGCTGGAATTGTGCTTCATTGGTTTCCATGATAACAAGTTGATAACTTCATCCAGCTCATTTGATGTGTTTTTGGAGTGCTCTAGAATATTTAATCATGTTCACACTATGAAAATGTTCCATTTTACATAATGTCTAAAAGAATGCAACACAATTCTAGGTTATCAAATACCAAATATAGAATGCATATATTACATACATGTTGAATGTGAAGCAACAATAAATAACTCATTCTACAAATACAATGTAAATGAATTATTTTTGCTTATAAGCTATATATATTTCAAATAGCATTTAAATTTTTCTACCTCAGCTACACAACAAATGGCTAAAAAAGTTTTAAATAAGAGAACTACAGTAATATTAAGAATGAATATGACTACAACTACGTAACATAGTAGGAATATCAAAAGAAATTTTTATTCTTATTTACCTTTGAATAACAAAGCTCTCAATAAAAAAATCATTAAATTGCAACACTAATACACAAAATTATTACATTTTTGCAAGTTTTCACAGCAATTATTGTTTAATTATAGAAGCCATATGGTAGTGATTTGTATGAATGGGGCAGTATATGCTTGACCACAATAATTTAGAATGAGTATTGCAAGGACCAGCAAGTCAGAAAATAATATTGAAAAAAATATATCATAACTACAAAAACTCATCTCAGTCATTACTGAAACTTTTTTTAATCTTATGTTGTGCTATTTTTTCGACAAATACATAAAGTAAAAACAAAGAGTGAAAACCACAAAGTGTTTTAAGCATTGAAGGCATAATACCTTTCTGTCAGAGCTAGAAACATGCAACTTACTTTAAAATGACATTATCAGTTCACAAATGTTTATAATACAATAAATGCATTCCACAGACCAGAATACAAATAAGAGAGTGGTGTAACACCAAACAAGAGGTATCCAGAATTGTAGTATGAATACATAACAGGCAAATTCTAATGCCAATTTGGCAATCATGAGGCACATTGAAATAACACCAGCCCTACGGTGAAAACCAGTTGACAACAACATGGGAATTACTGATAGAGGATTTATGTCTCAATAAATCTGGATGCCCAAGAAGATAGACAATGATCCATACACTTCAAAAACATATTAAATCTAAATTAGCTTTACCTTTCACCATTTCAAAGACAGGGCTTAATGTAATACAAAATATGTATGTCATAAATTATGCCTAAAAGCAACTTCAATTTCAAACAGGATGAGCCAGAAAAGACAAAGTTACTCAGAAAAATAAAAATCACAGTATTTCACAATATATATTAAATGTAAATCAAAGAGTACAACCCATATTTGTTTTTACAAGAATTATGAATGTATTTCTTCAGAAGCACTCACAGATATGAAGGGGGGAGAGGTTTACCTATACAGTACAACAGTTTCAAAATTTAAAGTATGTACCTTAGACAGCACCTGCCAGGTGTGAATTTATGATATGCACTTGGTGCAGTTTAGGTGCTTTAGCTGGTTGAATGATGACCAATAATGGGCACAGTGATATGTAATAGAACTATCCTTATTTCATAAGTGTAGCATTTTGTTTACTGAAGTACCTTTTATCATTCTTTTCTCTTACTAAATTACACATTTCAAGCAACTTGTGTTTAATATGTTAAACACTGAAATTCCTTAAGTTGTTGCAAATAACTTACAGATAAGAAGCAATTGCAATACTTCACATAAAGCCTAATTAATTTCTCTTGGAGTTAGAGAGGACTCAGCTAAGGTACTCCTAAAACAGTGTCATGTGAGTCCTGAGAACTCTTGAAGTCAATAATGAGTGCTGTGTTATCTTTCCCACTTATGAAGGTATACAATAAAACATGTTAGAATTATACAACAACATAATATTTACCATAAAAGTTGCCACTAAATACCCAGATTTATATACAGCTACATATGCAATTGTTCTTTGTCATTATGTTTTAAAAAAAACTTTATGGATGCTCCCATTATCCATCACTGTGAAATTACTTACTTTCTGTTGTCTGCATCATAAAAGAAGTTGATCAAGCATTAAATGTATAATTAAAGAAAACGACCACAACACATGAAACATAAAATAAAAAATCCATAAAGAATGAACTAAAATATAGCTTTTCCTTAAATACTTCAAAATTAACTTTATTAAAAATAAACATGGGAACAAGAGCTAATCCCTAGTTTTATATTTTTTGGAGCAAAAGCTAAATTTTGAAAAATTAGCAGTGAAATAAGCTTTTGTGTTATTAAAAAATATTATGCATTGTTATGGGGTAACTTATAAAAACTGGAATATCGATAAGAAAAAAATATTTTATTAAATTATGGAACAAATTCAGCATCTCTAACAAGAATCATAAAATTACATTTTCTTCAATATTAAATCTTCATCTTCACAGCTTCATATGAAATATAAAATTTCAAGATTCAAACCTGTTTGAGAAGGACTCTCTGAATTGAAATGCAATGATCCAGTCTGATAGAAATTTGAATTTGACCATGTGAAATTAGGTGTCATAAGTCCAGCTGGTGGTCTACCCTTTTCACCAAGGTTCATTGATGGACAAGCAGAAATCTGGCTATGAGTGGAAAACTGATTGTGTATAGATTCAACTGTTGAAGGTTTTGAACTACCTGTGTATAGCTTATCAAGCAGTTGGCCAAAATGTTTCCTTATTGTTACAGATAAGTTGAATTTTTCTGGAACCTGACTATCATGCCGATTCATAACTACAGCTTCTCTTTCATGGTGTGTAAACCTTTCAGATGAAAAATTCCTTGTGATCTGTGATAATGCCTTCCATGCAGCAAGTGAGAATTGAGCTTGTAGTTCAACATAAGAAAGAAGACACAGTCCTATTGCCTGAAAATAAATTATACCAATATTTTACTTGTATCATTTCTATCCTTCTTACTTTAATTCAAAGCAGAATGATTATGACTTTTGGGCAAAGTAAAACTATCATTTTTACCTACTAAAGCTGGAGCTATGTATAATTTTAATTGTAAAAGAAAAATCAATTTAGAGTTTCAGATTATTATAATTTTGAAACATATGCATGTTTGTGTATTATTTATCATATTTTTAAGTTGAAATAATTAAATGAAAGGGTAGGAGGGCATTTAATAACATATGCAAAAAAAAGAAGTAAACTGAGGTTTTTAAGAAAAACAATCACCAAGTTTATCTAAAGACTTGAAAAAGTAAACTTCCTTTCTGTTTTGTGCAGAGAAACACCATTCAAGTTGCATTCTTTATATACTAAGTTTTGATGCCATTACATTGTAAAACAAAAGTCTGGCCTTGTAACAAAGTAATTACAGAAAAAATATACAATAATTAAACCTTAGTTATAAGGTTAATATCTGGTGGAATCACACTAAGCCAAAAGTATGTTTCTTTTGAAAAAACTGAAATTATATTTAAAAAAGTATATCACTGTAATCAAAATACATTGTCATGTAAATACAAAAAAATCTTAAGTATTACTACCAAATATAAAAATTTGTTATTAGCAAGATAAAATCACTTCTAATCACACAAATGCACTATAATACTTAATGGTTAATTATAAAAATACAACTTACAGAAAAATACTCACCTGGATATGTTCAAACTGCGCATCAATTTCTTCATCCCCATCTCTATGTTTGTTTTCTCCCTCCTCTAATCTGTTCAGTATGTCTTGAAGACTCATCAGGGTTTCTGTTTTCACTGCAGCACTAGCACCAGCTGTGGCTTTGCTGATTTCATCCCATGCATTGAGAAACTGTGAAGCTACTTCCCAGTGAGAAGGTACCTCATTGAATACTTTGAGAAAATTCTGGGCCAAAAGAGTACCAGCACCACAAAGAGTATTCAGGGCCTAGAAATGTCACATAGTAGCACTCAGTATTTATATCACATAAAGTATACACTAGAAAAAAAAACACAAAAAACATTACCTAGTCTACATATGTAAAAGAATTATCAAGTTCTTTTCAGCATGCATTATGTGTTCCTAGAGCAAAGAGTCTGTTTAAAATATCAAGAATTGGACAATTACATATAACAAATTCACAAGTGGAAATAACAGTTTCAATATCTAATGTCTACTTTCTTCAAATGTCAAGGGGTTGACATAATCACAAGTAAGATAACTATGTTAACAATTACTTATTCTATTCCTAAACCTTGTAAATTTGTTGTTTTTAATGCCCTGTAACAGTCAAATATGATCAAAATAGCTGGTATATCAAGATCTAAATATAAAAAAAATGTTTATAAGTTAAAAAAATATTATGTAAATAATATTTGAAAGAAATCTGCCAAGCTGTTTTTGTGCTATCACATGGCATTAAAACAAACCACCACCAAGATAAAAAAATGAAGCTTCAAAAGATATAGTGGCTCAAGTGATTCCCATAATATTTTTTATAGAACTTGTATGTAGGGTTGTCTTCTATAATTTACCTAGTTGTCTACAAGTAATCTTATATGTTGTGATAATCCTTCTTACCTGAATATATGATGAGCAGATATCAAGGCAATTGTACAAATCACTTGACATAATGCAAAATGTTGATGATTTTGAAGCTGATTTTATTGTAGCACTTCCTATTCCTTGAGCATGGTGGGTTAGTGGCTTGTTCAAAACAAAATTTAAATGTCGCCGTAAGTTGGACATTTCAATTAATCAAAAATGGCTGAAAAATAAAAAATAAATACTAAAATATAAAAAGCATTTCACTAGGTATTCTCACATATACTAATTGCCATAATTTCTTTGTAAAGCTACTATGCTTTTATACAATGACTACGGTGTAAATTTAACTTCTAATAATTGAAACCATTTAAAAACCAGAGAATGCTGCAATATATAAAAAAAACTCCTAGCAATATCTTGATAAATGTGCTCCCTCACCCATTGTTTCAAATATATTGGGTAAAATAGACTTTTTGTTATTGTTGAAGTCTTTAACAAATGCTTATGGAATATCCATTATATCAGAATGGATGCAAATAAATGTTTTGGAATTCTACAGATTCCATCTTCAGTATCTTATGTAAAGGACAGATTTTAGGTCATTTTCAGAAATGGCTCAACACCTACCCCACTGACTTTAGACCTACCCTTTATAGAGGATACTGAAGACGAAATCACTAGAATTCTAAAATGTTTATCTGCATCCCTTCTGATACAAGTAAACATTGTTCTTCATCATAAGTGTCATAATACCTTTTACTGTCAAACTTCGTTTTCCTTCGAACAGATCAACTGCTAATATCAATTCTGTATAAGTTACTTGTAAGAACAAATCCATCTATTAATTTACACTAAGCCTCTAATACAAGTAAAGCAGTTTATGATGTCAGTCTTGACCACTTAATTCCAGTAGTGGACCAATCCTGCTGAAATTATATCAATGGTGTGTCACATATCAAAAATGGCTTCAAGATGAAGATGATACGATTGTTTTATCAAAGTTGATGTGAGGAACATTTTACTATAAACCATACTGCAGTTGTGGGTGATTTGTCTTATGATCTCTTATAATATTCCACACTGTCAAGTTTATACTAAGTAGTGCTCCCTGCTTGTACAAAGCACAAGTGGATTTGCTTGGACATAGCTCACTATTTCATGTCTGAAACATTTGCAAAGTCACAAGGTACTCTACATGTTACAAATGTAGTTGATGTAGATGTGATCATGACGAAATGTCAGTGACTGCAAAGCTAAATCTTAAAATGTTCAGAGCAACTGTTGTTACTGATGCTGAGGGCTTGTCTTTTGACAGCCAGATCAAAAGCAAGGTTAGTAATCTGAAACAAACAAAAAAGAAATGAAGTTCTTTGTCTCACTTATATCTTGCAGCACCATAATAGTAATGTTCTCAAGGAATAAACATGAATTGCACATCATATGTTTACTTTTGACTTTTAAAATCAAATTATGCAAACAATCTACCTGAAAGTCTGTGGCTTCCTGTGCAGATAAAGCTGGGTTGGATCATATTGAACCTTCTGCTTGGACAGGTCTAATGAAGATAAACACTACTATGTTGACAGAAATGGAAGGCACTGAATGCTTCCTCAGGAAATGTCAAGATAGAGAAAGGTGTTACAATCCATTGTTGGTTAGAAGAAAGTCCTGACCACAGGACAAAGATGAAAAAGTTTTGGCCAGAAGAAAAGTATGATTGGCTACTCAGTTTACTGAAAACAATACAGGAAACTGCTCCTCACATCAAGCTCCACATAACCCACTACACAATATTAAGTTTGCCGGAAGTCTGGATTTAGCCGATCCCACCCACCTGACAGATTTGTCAAATTTTTCTCTACTTGACTCAGAAACTCAGCATTAAATAAGATTCCCCTAAAGTGAATAGTAACAACATCAAGTAGAATAATGTGATTTAGCTATTGTTATTAAACAAAATATTAAGTCTGTAACTTGGAGTTTGTCAATGAAATATAACTAAACTTATAAGTCATATTATATTTAGAGTTCATTCAGGTTACTTTATAAACCAAGTAATTTCTAATTTTTAAGAGATTTGAGTCTATCATTTATTGTAAACATTGTACAATAAAAGCTTTATTAACCGATATCTGCTGGATTTGGACAGTGCTGAATAGGCAAAAATTCTGAATATAAAAGCAATATTTACAATATTTTACAGGAAAAACTTTGACACCTTGTTAATGTTCTAAAGTACAGTATTCCTATATCATGTAAAACACTAACAGTTGTAAACAATTTTAAAATTAAAAACCTTAAACTGTATACAAATCTTTTTCCATGCATTTACAAATGTCTAGTTTCTGATGCATTGTTAGTACAACTTGTTTACATTTCACTCCTTAGCTTGAGGAAGGAGTTTCCATTGATTTCTTGCTAGAATTAGAAGTCATAACTTCAGGAAGTAGAAAATATTTACAGATAAAGTATGCACAATGTGAATCACAGTATAGATGGCTAACAACTGAAGCCTGACACGCATTGGCAGGAAAGAACATAAACAAAGCCACAGCAGCATCACAAAGCTAAAATGAGCATATGTATTTAAATATATTGAAATTTCTAGTTAGAAGAAGTTGCTAGAAGTGAAGATGCTGGATAACAATGCTTTTACTGTAATTCAAATATCTTTAGTTTCTATATTTATTATCACATGTTATTTAGCTACCACATTTATACATGACTATCTGTATGATCTCTGAGGCAAGAAATCTACTTATCAGATACTACAGAATGTCCCATGACTTGTTTTTATGTAATTTACATATATAGATATTATTTGGAGCAACTTTTTTAATAACATGCATATTATACATTAAGTACTTAAACATTTCACAATTCATACACTCATGATCCACCCAAAAACATGCAAAATTTTACGAAAACCTAGTCTCCTCAAAACATAAAACTTTTTTAAATAGCCATTCTATACGCAAATTATCTTTATGAAGTCTTTATCTCTTAAAATTTGTATCTTAACATGTTGCTAGCCTGAAATAACATAAACCTAAATTTTAGCTCTAAACACAGTACATTCAGAAAACCAACCTGAATCATTCTTGTAGTAAGTACTTCCTTTGAACCCATTTTTTCCCCATAAAGTTAAGACCTGTATAATGAGGTTACTGAAATATAATGGGGTGTCCTAGCAGCAGCATAAAAAAAGCTTACATAAAGTGTATTTTTTAACTTGTACATATTTGTCAACATTCCAGGGTACAAATATGTTCTTCCTACTGCATATAAAAGACCCATAAACATATTAACTAACAACTTTATGCATCTTGTCATGTTGCACAGGGATTGTCTCATTTTAATGCATGATCAGAAAAACTAGCTTTTCCCAATGTAGTACCAGCTAACTTAAAAATAAAACTATTAATCTGAACAAACAAAAAAAGTTTGAAAAAATAAAGAAAATTGAAGTAGGTCTGTTTTGTACAAAACACACCTACTTCAATTTGCTTTATATTTTCAGACTTTTTTGTTTTAATATCCATGACAATGTATGTTTGTCTTTGTTAATGAAATAAAATGACTTGTGTTCATACATTAGATTTGCTAGTTTCCTACATAACCTATTTACATTTCATATGAATTGATAATACAAAAATCAAATTAGTAGCTTCAAATATGATAGTCTAAATTAATAATACATCAGATATAAATACAAGAAACAGTACATAATACAAAAATATATGTACTATAGTATAAACGTATATCAAAGCAAGCAAATGGATATACATTTCACAGTTTCTGATCAAGAAAAAGTCTGAGCACTGCCTTGTCAGTGTCACTGCAAAGTACATGTAGCTAAACATCTATACAATGAAAGACTTTTTTGTTATCACTTGCACGTATACACTGATTTGATCCTGATAGTGATACACATTAATTACCATTCAGCGACCCGACACAACTGGAGTCAATTTGCGTTCACCAAAGTTGAGTCAATTTGAAACAGCTACAGTCAGTAGTGAGGTAGATTCAAAGGCATTAAATATACTTTCAGGACACATTGCAAAGTCACTACTCATTTAACAAGTACTATATCCAACAAGTTACGTTTCAATATCAAGTTACTATTTTCTACTGATAGTACTGCCATTATATCGGACCCAGCTCATGGTGACTGGACTAAACTAGACACGCCCTGTAAATGCCAGTTTTTTACACCTCGTTTCCATCTCGCGCTATTCTGCTTTGGCCTAGTCAAATAAGCAAATGTCTTTCTACAAAAAGTCATTTGATTAAGTTTGGCAGATTCATATTATAATCTCTCGTACCAACATACAATAACTGAACACTTGAAAATCATATTAAAATCAAATTACATCGAAAGTAAACTGATTAACAAGTCTGTAGCGGTTAACCGATAACGATACTAGTAGTAGTATTAATCAATATAGTGTTAGCTACATCCGAAGATGCGAGAAGAGACCCCCCTACAAATTTTATAATATCGGCAATCCTATACAACACAAAATGTGGAGAAAAAAAAATATGTATAGCAAGCTTACCTTTCTAAATAATAACAATAAAGATGATCACGAGGGTCGAATAAAACACAAAGCTAAAGAATGGAAGCACAAGAACTGTATTCTCACCCGTCGCCTCAAGTTCTCGATACACTGTAGTCGTTTAATAATTTGACAAGTTACTGTAAATCAGGCGCGTCCGGCGTCTCCGAAAGTGAGAGTAGGCACAACGGTGACTTTGGACATAAATATATTTCACGATTCACCGTAAAGACACTGCTTCAAATTTATTTCAATATAACGATCTCACATGTTGAAGAAACAGTGTGTGTGTTTCATTCTATTTCTCAAAAATTTTGTTTTCAGCTGTCTTAATGTATTGTTACGTCTCCGTTTGTCAATTGATTTTCCGTAACTT